AGTGACAGTACATAGTTTGAGTTTGGTATAATTCTTTATCCCACCACTAATTCTGAAATAGATTACTTTTATTATGTTAAAGTATCAATTGTTGATTTATGTTGTGGTGTTGGATTATTTTTTGGCTGCTAACTTAGTACCCTGACAGTTTTTGGGGGTGCATAGGAATAACATTTTTTATTCTTTAGGGAGGCGTTGGTGTACACTGAACCATATAATGTTGATGCTTATTCAAGTCTTTTAGGACATGAAGCAGACCGAGGCCTAGGACCTTTATTGTGAATTCAAAGTTATTTTCCAACCCCCCTAAAATGAAGTATAAACCCAAAGAAAATAACATTTTAGTACTCTAAGTTGATTACTATAGTTATAAAGTAACAACCCAGTAGATTAATAAGCAGAGGTATCATAAAATGACACTATATGAAACAGGTTTTATTATGTTGCAAGTTATTCCAGAACGTCTGAAATTTTGCTTAGTCGGGTGTTTAAGGCAACACAATCTGATTGTTGGTGTTATAATCAGCATAAAATGATGATAAAAGCAGTGGCGGACCGAACATGTGGGCAAATGGGGGCTGTTGTCCCCCAAAAATTTTATTTTTCTAAGTATATTTACTCTGAAATTTTAATATATATGTATTTGTATTTATATTTTTACCCTGCCGCCCCTCCTAGCCGGAATTCCTGCATCTGCCGCTGGATAAAAGGATTCTCTTATTTAGAGACTTAGATGCCCCATTTGATTGTATCAAGGGAGCAATAAAAATTGATGTGATGAGAACAACCATTCAGTGAGCCAAGGCATGATACGTTTATTACATAGTTTTGTTCAGCTTATTTTTAGTTAAGCTAGAAATCCTACAATGAACTATTTGTTTCAAAATAATATAATAGCAGTGATGGTTACTACTTACTAGAATGTTTTTCGCAAATAATAGAAATAGAAGTACTTCTTTTCCAAAAGGGACTTTTTCTCTAGTTGCTATCCAAAACTAATTTGAACCTGATGATATAATATGATGCCATGTGCCACAAAATACCATTCTACCTGCCACTTATGTTGATAGTATGATGTGCAAGAAGTAGCTGTTGGAAAAAGTGTGTTAAATTGCATTAAATGGTCATTTTGGGGAATTTTTTTGAGCGGGGTCCACTTCCGATTTGGGTCGGGTCAAAGTGGTTTCGGATTGTCCTTGCTTAGGGCTACAATTCGATATATGGTACGCTCAAAACGGATAACGGGTGAATGAGAAATCGCTTTTCGAAGTTTACCCGTTGGAATGGAGAAAACTAGGAAAAGGTGAGTTTTTGGTATGGTTTTTTCCCACACCGAAAATCACTAGGGATTTGCAACCCTTTATAAGGGAAAACCCCCCCTAAGGAGTTAAGATTCCTAAAGGGAAAGGCTCTCTCACGCGCGCAGGGGGGGGGGGTGCGGATCAAATCCCGAAACCGAAGAACAAAAAGCGCGACTTGCGTGTGCGGGCGACCTGCACACACGAATGCCGTCCGAAAATCCCATCTTCTAAAGATAACGTCAATTTTTGTTCTTCCGGTACGTTCCTATTTATTTTTGCTCCATGCTAGACTACAACGTGCAGCATAAATTCCCAACGTTCATGGCCCTTAATGCAAACGTTTTGGACTGGTGGCATGTGTAGAATCAATGCCAGCATGCTGCCTTGAAGTCCCAACGTTCATATGAACGTTTTGGACTGTTTTTGGCTGGAATCAATGTCCCAAACGTTGGGCATTGATGTCCAACGTTCATGTGCCTTAAACAGTCATTAACACATGCAAATCCACCCCTATAAAAGGCTGGTTGGTCCTTTGCAAAAGACACACAAGTCACAAACGTTCTGCACTTCATTTTAGCTCACAAAACTCTCCCAGCCTTCTCTTAAAAATTCCTATTGTGTTCTTGCTTCGTTCACGTTCGTTGGGACTTTCGTTTGAGTGCTCAAACGTTTGTTCGTAGTCATCGTATCCTGGGAAACGATTCTTGCAACGCTCCTAGCACCCCGGGAGGCAACGAATACGTTTTAAGGAAATCGTGCGTAGCACGAGCTTTGGCTTATTCTGCTTCGTCTCATTTCTTGTTTTCGTTTTGTCATTTTATTTAATTAATTTTTTATTAATTAATTTTCTTCGTTTTTCGAAACACACCCAACAGTAGCAGGATGTTATAGATTCAATAATTTATGGTTTTATTTTGAAAGTATTCAAATTAAATTGGAAATGTATTTTCTAGCTCTCTAATGAAAGAAAAAGTATTTAACGATTTTTAAAGACAATATATGGTATTATCAGGAATGAGAAACACTTTGTATAAAGAATGGACCTGATTATTTTTCTCCTTTGCTGTTAGAATATGCATTGGAAACATGGGTTTACATAATATGCCTTTTTACATTATGTTCAAGGTCTGGGCATATCATTTTAACTTCTTCCCTTAACTAGACTAGAGGTGGAGTTTAATGTTTCCGTTTTCTATGCTGTGTGTTCCACTTTTTTTAAATTTCAGGATGTAAATCTTTTCATTTGTCCAACTCAACATCTTCTACATGTAGGACTTGCTTGGTTTGGAGGATGATGAAATTGCTCAGTTTAAGGCACTAATAGAGGAAAGGTCTGCATTTCATTAGTCTTCCAAATTTCACGACAGCCTCTGCACTGCTGAATAAACACATGTTGAATAAACATTAGTCTTCCAAGTTTATGACTCTCTCTTTCACCTTTGTCACTAGCTGAATAACTCACCATTAGGGGTGGGGTGAGGGTTCTACTATTTTGCTGAAGTGGTTTGGAACAATCTTACCTAGATTGTATCGTGCCATTATATCATTAAGAGGGTATAAGTTGCAGATTGACAAGTTTGAATTATGGATTCTCTCATATATTTGAATTTATGGTGTATTCTACGTATCTTTTGTAGGTAATACATATTATTTTATGCACCCAGGCCCAATTTGATCTCATGTTTACTTGTCTACATTTTCTTGTGAGCGACTGTTTTAGCTTAGTAATTTTTAATATCAAATTTGAGGATCTGAAGGACTAATTGAGAAACCGTATATTGAAGAAGCGTAAAGTTTGAAGAATTACTTTTACAATTGCAAATGACTCATCAATACAACTGAATACACATGTTTTAATTTCTCCAACTAATACAGGTATGTCAATTATTACTTCACAATTTCATGGGCTATTTATCCTTCAAGATAATGCATACCTTAGTCACGTGTTTCTGTCACAGGGACTAAGTTGTTTGTATATGAGTTCATTACTTAGTCAAGTATAAGTTATTTGTATATGAGTTCATTACTTGAAACACAATACATGTTTATGCCTTCCCCTGTATTACATAGTCAAAGAGGTCTGTGCCTTATAAGAAGGCAGACCTGCTTGCATATTATTTATCAAATTGGTTGTTATTATATTAGTTGTATATATAGTAGTTGGACACTAGTTCCCGCTAATGGAGTTGTAGTTTCATTTTGTTTGTTGAAGTTATATACTATTTGTAGAGTGTGCCAGATTTTATATCCTACCAGATAGCTTAGCTGTGAGTATACGAATATACTACATGCAGGTTTTTATAAGATTTTGTTTGAAATCCCTTAATGGTAACAATGGGGTGAGTGAGTGGTTGTAAACCTTCTTCCTAGAATCAAATTAATCTAAGACGTATCTTGGTATGGATGGAATTACATGGCATTAAGTGTAACTATGTATGCATACTGAGAGTGAAATTGCATCTTAAATAGCACGTAATATGGGGCATTGTATGTAGATGATCGAGCACTTGGGTTAGCCTTGCTAGGCTGAATTGAATTACCATATATGATCTCATACTATAATAAACACACTGCATCTTAAATGGTTCATTTTACTATTGGTTTTTGAATTAATTTGTTTGATAGAGTGTGGCAGATTTTACATAGTTTCAGATTTTTTACAAGGTTAATTATAAACTTCTAGTACATATTGTATATCCTCCAGTAGTAGTAGATGCAGATTTGTTATAAGGTTATCTATATCAGTTGCAGGTACAACTTGTTTCTCAAATTTGACCGTATACTAATTGCATATATTGTATCTTTGGATGCAGTTAAAAATAAATAAGCTTGTAGAGTAGTGTGAACAAAGGAGAAATCAACATGACAGACGAAGAAATTTATGCAAAAGTTAAACCCAAAGGTAAAAGTGATCGTGGAATGGGAGTAAGCCCGTCCATTACTTCCTTGTTTGGGTCGTTTAATTTAGTGAAGGAGAGAAATTTCGCAAGGAGGCTGAAGAGGCAAAGAAGGAAGCTAATGAGGCTAAAAAAGAAGCTCACGAAGCTAATGCAAAAAATAAAATGCTCACTCAGGAGGTGAAAATTTTCAAAAAAAGAAGTAAGAATTATGAAGGATGTTATGGGGAAGTTTTTCAACCTTATGGGAGGCGAATTTTTAAAGTTTTTTTGAATGAGGTAATTCATTATTAGTTTATTTTTCATTATTTTCAGTTTATATTTTCCTTTAGTTACCGAAAATATTCGTCTACCGTTATTATATGTGATAGGTTGAAAAGGAGCATAAAAAAGTCCATGATGATGATGATGGTGGTGGTGATGATGATGTTAATGATGCTCGTGATGATGGTGATATTGATGATGAGGAATGATCTTAGCATCTATTTTAGCTTTTAGACATACTTTGTCTCATCTTAAAGTTTTTAGTAGGTGCTAAATTAACTCTAGCTAGATAGTTTCTTTTTTTCTTAAGTTGTGGAGGGTGTAGATGAGTTTGAACAAACTATGTACTGGTAGTTACTTTTTATGTAATTAATTTAAGCTAAATTTTGACTTTCTATATTATTCTACAAAGCAAGCATTTAATTACTTTGTTGATGCATGTTATTAGCTATTAACTTATTAGTCTTATTTATATATTTATATATCTGAATTACAACATTGTATGATATATTAATATATGACAAAATGACAATGATATATGTCTGCCTCCAAAAACAATCCACAACAATACTAAAAGTTGTCTCGTAATATTATTTATAGCAAAATGTAATATAGCCTCTAAAAACTTTTTGAGTCATTAAATATGGTTGACTCTAATTGCATTATAAGACAACATACATGGTTGCCTCAAATGACATTTTGAGGTGAAAGGATATGGTTGCCTCTAAATATGGCTTTTTAGAATCACATCATTTGTTGCCTCTAAAGGGGTTTTTTAGAGGCAAACACCATTTAGCGACCGAATTTTTGTTGGCAACCATTAAATTGCCTCCAAAAACCTTTAGGGGCTATTTTCTTATTATTAGAGGCAATTATGTGATGTCTCTACAAGTCAATTTTATTGTAGTGTCTAGCAAGGTCATGTGTGGCATGGCCCACTGCTGCCCTGCATCAGTTGGCACCAATCTTGGCAGGCCCCCCTTGATTAGTCTGGCCTACACTTATTCCCGCAGCTGGCGTTAGGTGTGGAAGAAATAGGGGCTTTGTTGGCCTTTGACGACATACAGAGAGCTGTGATGCACTCCGCCTCTACTTCCGCTGGAAATGGAGGTAAGAGTGATAGATGGTGGCCGTCGGTCAGAAGAAGGGAGATGTATCGCAAGCACAGTTGCTGTCGGAGGGGTGAGGGCGAGGATTGACCGCTGACCCGACCCCTTCCATCGTCGAGCACTGTCGGTTCTCGTGCTCGGATGTCATTTGCTCAGACCGCTGGGCGCTTGGTAACATCTCTGGTCGTCGTCACCGGAGAGTGGAGGGTGGTTCACCGGAACAACAGCTGTGCGACACAGCCTGTGCAGCTGAAGAGCCCCCCGTTTAATCACTAGAATGACTAGGCCGTCTATCAAGCATAGCAGTGCGAGTTAGAGCAGACTGTGGCGGCCGGATCGAGCTGCTGGTGCCGTCGTTGTACGGTAAGGTCTGGCCGAGGAGCTGAGCTAGCAAGCTTACCTTTTCCAGATTTAGAAGTTCCAGATCCCAGTTCGGAAACTGCGGCTGGCGGGTGAGCTTCAGGCGGTGAGGATGAGGTCTGCAGCCATGGCACGTACAATTGATGGGTGGTTCCTACGGCTCGCACTGCACCGAACTCGGATTCCATTCTTTTCTCCCTTTTGACACTGTTTTTTGCTAGATCCGTACTCGCCATTGATGGCTGGCAGAGGTTCACAAGCTTTCTAGGTTGTAGGTTTGCAGCGGCTTTCCTGTGCTGAACCGCTAACGGACAAGAGCTACAACAAAGGCACAAAGCAGCGAACTTCAGGTGCTGCGTCCAGGTGAGCAAGCTTCGCAATGGCCATGACAACTCCTATGGGTTAACTGACTCTGCTGGAGTTCGGGTCGCACGGGAAAAGTTCTAGATCGGGACTCCCTTCTTTTTCTTTGATGCTTTTTCATTTTCCAGAATGATTTTGGTGATTTTGGTAGTGTTTTTGGTTACGCGGGGAGGTTTTCTCACTTGATTGTGTTCAACCTCTCAACGAGAGCACCAAATGATGGACAGTATGCCCGGGGTAGCTTATCCGAGGGGTTATTGCGGGAAGAACTTAGAGAGAAGTCAGAACAAACAAGTAGGAGAGAGAGGCGATTATATTAATGAACTCGAGATGTTCTGGTCCTTTACAATGGGGAAAGGGGGTGCTATTTATAGTAGCAATAAATGCGACGAGAGTACTGACGAGCACTTTGTCGTAGTGTGCCTCAAATTAAATTCACTACTAAGAGCTAATACCGTAGTATAGCGTAGTAAAGTTCGTATCCACAGGGAAAGGAGCTTTTCGCGTATGTGTAAGCGTAATAAATAAAAGTAAACGGAAAGGGGAATTGGATATTTTGATAATTGAGAAAGCAAATAAAATACTTAAATGAGTGAAATAAAATATCAAAGGTAATTAGTCTTGGTTTTGCTTTTATCCACTTAATGAAATGTTCGTCGATCCCGGTTATATCTTTAACTATCTTCCTCTCGAATACTCAATCGAGGAGTATATCCAGTTCATCGAAGGTAGTTATTAATAACGAGACGCGTTCATTAATAAAACTAACTGCCGAATTAATATAAAACACGCGCCGTATATTTACTCGATAGTAACAATAAATTCAAGATGAAAACGATTGAAATTGATAACCTCAACACAAACGGTTTATTGGTTTAATCAATATAATTAATTCCCCTTAGATTATTAACCATGAGACGCATGCATTAATAATCCAAGTTTACTACTGTGAAAAGATCGAACGATTAACAAGCGTATTCATCGATCGATTCTAGTAATAATTAATATATGAGACAAAACTAGTTGATCCTTTAAGTAATGCTCAAAATATTAAAATGAAATATGAATAGGAATTAATTAATATTCAAGGAAGAATATTAAAGAAGATATAAATCCTACTATAACTAATGTCAAGATGTTAACTAATTGTCATTTTAGTAACACTCCTCAACATTAATATAGAGGAAGAAAATAAATACTACTCTAACTAATGTCGAGATGTTAACTAATTGTCATCTTGGTAACACTCCCCAACATTAATATAGAGATAGTATTAAGAGAAAAATTAATATTCAAGGAAGAAGATTAAAGAAAATAACTCACAACTTACAATTCATTAAGCTTCAAAGTAGCAAAACCAAGATGGAAAGACTACCTAAATTACAAGAATAAAGTGTATATGAAAGAGGGGATTAAATTGGTATCTAAAATAGGAAGGAAAGAGGTGTTTTATAGGAGAAGTGAGGTGGTTGGGTCTAAGACATAATCTGATTTTCCCATGTTCACTTGCTTTATTTGATCTCTTATGATCTCCGAGTCGAATCATATCCGACTTTTCACACATCTTTGTCCTCCATGAAGCTTCCTTTTGTCTCCAATGCTCCTTCATTATGCTCCCAAGCTCCTTCCTCTTTTTTTCATCATGTTTTTGCTTACATGTCAAAATATCTTAATATCTTCTATTTCTTCTTTAATTTTAGAAGATAAAGATTACACCGTAATTGTACAAAAGCTAAGTAAACATAATGTAAAACAATTCTAAGATGTGGTGTTTATGTACTACTAAATAGTACGCATCAAGTACACATGGCGATAATCTAACGGCCGATGGGTCACCTCAATCGGGGTGGCACCGGCAATTGCACGTTCACCGCATTAAATGCGGTGGGTGGATGTGACGTCGCATTAAATGCGGTGGTTGGCTGTCTCCAAAGGGAATCTTCGATGATTGAGCCTGTTTAGCCGAAGGCTCTCCCAGTGGCCGAGGGCTCTGTGTAGCCGAAGGCTTCTCTGATGCCGAGGGCTCAACACTGCCGAAGGCTCTTGTTTTCTGCCATTTTCTCCCAGTAGCTTCATATGCTCAAATATGGCTGTTTTGTGAGTTTTGGAGCCTTCGGCCATATTGCCGAAGGCACCTGTATGTGCATCGCGGGCCTCCTTGAGCTTGGGCCGCAGCATTTTGGGCTTTACTGAGCTTCTTGGGCTTGTTGGGCCTGTGATAGAGTAGTAGGAGTCTGTGGACCGGGGGTTCCTGGGCCATATACTCCATCAAGAACATTTTTATTCTTTGAAAATGTCTAAATTTTCTCAAAACTGCCATCAATATGACATTTTAGGCAATTTTTGGCATTTTTTCTGGTGATCGAAGCTAGATGTGCTGGGAGGTTGTTGAGGTGGCAACATAGGCCTAAATAATTTTACATAGTATTACTTTTTTCATTTTTTATTTATTTTATTTTATTTTATAATTTTTTATTTTTCGTTTTTTTAATTTTATTAATTTTATTTAATATTTAATTCATGTTTTTTTAAACATTTTCCTTACAAATAAAATTATGTTATTACTTTTATATTCATATATGAATTGTATTAAAACAAAGGGTAGACTTGAAAATTAGTCCTATTTGAGGAATTTTTAAGCTATGATCATATTTTGGCAATTAAAGTTTCACCTAATCCCATATAAGGAATTTTCTTATTTACGAAGTATTTATGTTCACCTGTACTTGTATTTTACTCTCTTCGTTCCTTAAAAATTTGTCATCTTTCTTTTTTTAGGACGTCTCACAAAACTTTCCCTTTTAATCAATTATGGGAAAAAGTGCAAATAGACCCATGTACTAATAAAAAAAGGTCAAATAAGCCCTTATTTAGGAGGTTCTGTCCGGCCGTCGCCATTTGGGGTGGTTCCTGGTGTAATTTTTGGATGAAATTTTTTGAGCATCTTATTCATTAAGTCTAGTTTACTCATACCAAATTTCAGCTAAAACTTCAATCGGGAAGACATTCAAATGAATTTTTGAAAATAACTGCGCATTTATCTTCAAGAATTCATTTGAATGCCTTCCCGATTGAAGTTTTAACTGAAATTTGGTATTAGTAAACTAGACTTGATGAATAAGATGCTCAAAAAATTTCATCAAAAAATTCCATCGGTAACCACCCCAAATGACGACGGCCAGACAGAGTCTCCTAAATAAGGGCTTATTTGACCTTTTTTGGTTAGTACATGAGTCTATTTGCACCTTTTCCCATCAATTATTTTGCGGAATCTGTTATTTCTCTTTGCTCTACACAAATCTCAATCACACAATTTTTACTTTATTATTCTACGTGACGGTCAATTTTGGTAAAGTTTTAAGGGTTTGTATTTTATTTGGTTCCAAATTTCTCCCCAGTTCTCACTTTATCCGAGTAGTTTGACTATTTTATCCCCCAATTTCTGTTTCCTAGCGGGACCCACCCACATGGCGATGCGGGGAGTAGGAGGCCCTTTGTTGTGCATAGGCGATCTGCTCAGCGATGTCGGAGAAGATGGCTCCGGCTGCGACAACCTCTCTCGTTGCGGTGACATCAAGACTCCGTCTTTTTCAGAGTCCTGTCCCAGCTTCAGACCTTCCGATCTCCCCAAGCTCTTTCAGGTGTCTTCCCAGTCCGTATCGTATCACTCAAAGCCGATTCACCTTTTCATGTTTTTATTATTTTATATTTTATATGTGTTAGATTCCGTACAAATCAAACACATTTCATTCAAATCCTTAGATGTAGTCGAATTTTTCTTAATTCATTTAATGAACCCGGGAGATTCTAGTGTTCCATCAGTTCTATGCGTCATACACCGTCTTTCAGAACTACCTTTGGAAATATCAATGTATGTGCTAGAATATGTTCTCATAAAACTCAATGCACATGTATACAAAAACCATTCTTATGTTTTTGCTTGCGTAATGTTTTTTTCTAACCCTGTAGTTAGATGTACTAGAATATGCATACAAACAGCTTTCTTATTCCTTAGTTGTGTACATCAGTACATGTGTAATGTTATTGTATACTACGTATATAAAACTGATATTATGAAAAGTGAAGCAATGGGCTCCACTGATGCATTCATAGGGCGTCAATATCACCGTAAAAGAAAGAAAGATAAAAATCAGCAAATAACACAAACAAATCTGACTGATTTGGAAGACAAATAAAATCAAACAAATCTGGGAGACAAATAAATCAGACAAATCTGATTGACATGTCACAGTCAGGGATTTGAGATCCTGAGAGATCTGAGATATTATTTTCTGATTGCAATCTTTGAATTATTGTTTTCTTTTAAGTTGTTTTCTTTATTTTATTTTCCAAACTCTGTAAAGCCTATTTAATGGCCAGTTGAATGCAGGGAAAAGGTATGGAAGTTTTTAGCAAGAAAAGTCTGAGGGAGTTTCTGGAATTCTCAATAAAAAATTCCAACTTGTGATAAAAGTTTGCATAATTATATTTTTCCTAGTTCTCTGCCAAACAGTAAACATAGCCAACCCTTCCAAAGCTCAGTCTACCCTCCCATTCACCCGAAGGCCTGTGACGAGATCTTGCACACAAGCTGCCCGTATCACTGGTTCCGTTGCCGGCGTCATGGGCGATGGGCTGTTTGCATCAAAGGAAGAAGTCTCCAATCTGAAAGAATCCATAGATCGACTTGAACAGATGATGGAAAAATTGCTTGCAGACGGAGGTAAAACTGCAACAACAGAGGCTACCAATGCTGATCCGGTGGTGGTACATGCACCGGACAACATGAATCACATGGCTACTACTCATGGATCACATTTTGAGTTTCCCCTTTTCTCGGGCACGGAAGATCCACTCAGTTGGCTTTATCGCTGCGAGTTATTCTTCATGAATCAGAATGTTCCCCCTGCCAAACGAGTTTCTATGGCTGCTTACTATCTCACTGGAGATGCTCAGTTGTGGTATCATCATCTACGCCAAGATCAGCCCCATATTTCTTGGGAAACTTTTCGAGATTACTGCAATCACAGATTTGGTCCCCCTGGTGGTGCAAATCCATTAGGGGATTTGACAAATCTAAAACAACAAGGCCGTCCAATTGAGGAATACATCACACAGTTTCAGAACAGCCTAGCACGTGTTCCACCACTTCGTATGGACTACCAAGTTTCCATTTTCACAGCTGGGTTAGACGAGGTGTTGCGAATAGATGTGGAATATAAAAAACCATTGAATCTGACTATGGCGTTTAGTGAGGCAAGACTATTCGCGAGAAAGTTGCAGCTTTGGACTTCGACTCATCCCAGAACATTACGGCCGCCTCCCAAGACAGTGCACTTCCCGACAACAGCCACCACACAATTACCATCAGGTGCAGGACCCTCAATAACTCGGTCAGCCCCTCCTCCATACATGAAGAGGCTGTCCAAAAGTGAAGCAGCAGAACGGCGAGCGAAGGGACTTTGTTACAACTGTGACGAAACATATGTACCGGGGCATAGATGCAAACGACTATTCTGCCTTTGGATGGATGATGACGAGGAAGGGTCTGAAAGTCACATTGAGCCCACAGTTTCCCTTTATGCCATGGCTGGACTTCGTCACCCCAACACGCTTCAAGTGCAAGTCCAATTGGCCGGTAATTATGTTCTTGCAATGATTGATTCAGGGAGCACCCATAATTTCATCAATTCCCAAACTGCCCTCTCACTTGGGTTGCCAATAACACCTCGCCAGGATTTTCGTGTGGCAGTGGCTAATGGAGAAAAGCTACTCAGCACAGGTGTGTGCGAGCGAGTAAGACTTGTTAAGGCCGGTGCCACATTCATGATTAATCTTTTCGTCTTACCGATATCAGGGTTTGATATTATCCTTGGGGTAAAATGGTTGGAGGAATTGGGTGATATCGTGTGTAACTTTAGAGAGCAAAGGGTCACCTTTACCATACAGGGAAGAACTGTTACTTGGACAGGAGATGCAGCTCCAGTTGGCACTACTTTGAATTCTATACATCCTACAATTTCTAATGATCAAGCAATGGAGGAGCTTCTGAGTTACTTTGACACCATTTTTTCTGAGTCTATGGCGCTGCCTCCAACACGCAATTGTGATCACCGTATTATTCTCAAAGCTGGGACAGATCCTGTTGTTGTACGACCGTATCGCTACCCACAACTGCAAAAGGATGAAATTGAGAAGCAGTGTTTGGAGATGCTAGAAAGAGGACAAATTCAGCCAAGCCGAAGCCCGTTTTCATCTCCAGTACTCTTGGTTACCAAGAGTGACAACTCATGGCGCTTTTGTGTAGATTATCGGGAACTCAATGCACAGACCGTTAAGGATAAATTTCCTATTCCGGTAATTGATGAGCTCTTAGACGAACTTCACGGATCTCAGTTCTTCACAAAGCTTGACTTGCGCTCAGGGTACCATCAAATACGCATGAGCCCAGAAGATGTTGAAAAAACAGCATTCCGCACCCACCATGGACATTTTGAGTTCCTGGTGATGCCATTTGGCTTGTGCAATGCACCGTCCACCTTTCAAGCACTTATGAATGAGGTATTCGGGCCCCATCTTCGTAAATTTGTCTTGGTTTTTTTGACGACATATTAATCTACAGTCACACTTGGGTGGAGCATCTACAACACATTAGAATTGTGTTTGGATTGCTCCAAACTCATCAATTGTTCCTAAAAAGGCAGAAATGTGTCTTCGGCGTGCTAAAGGTAGCCTATCTCGGACATGTGATTACTGGAAATGGGGGTGGCGGCAGATAATTCAAAAATCCAGGCAATCATTGATTGGCCTGTAGCAGTCACAACCACTGCTCTTCGTGGATTCCTTGGTCTAGCTGGTTTTTACCGACGTTTTATCCGGAACTTTGGTGCACATGCAGCACCTTTAACTTCACTCCTTCGTCGCAATGCATTTTCATGGTCCAGTGAAGCTCAAACTTCATTTGACACGCTCAAAACTGCCTTGTCCAGTTCACCTGTATTGCAATTACCCAACTTCTCCAAACCATTCCTAATTGAATGTGATGCATCAGGGGTGGGTATTGGAGCAGTTCTACAACAAGAAAACCACCCTATTGCCTTCTTCAGCAAGAAGCTTGCAGACCGCCACCTTAAGCTGCCGGCATATGAGCGGGAATTGATAGGCTTAGTCCAAGCAATACGAAACTGGAGGCACTATCTTTGGGGCCGCTCTTTCGTGATCCGAACTGATCATTATAGCCTAAAATACTTACTGCAGCAACGACTTACAACCTCACCACAACAGCATTGGATGAGTAAACTCTTAGGTTTTGATTTTGAAGTCGAATACAAACCTGGAAAACTGAATTGCGTGGCAGATGCTCTATCACGGAGGGATGCAAATCCAGCAACCCTCATGGCAATTACCATGGTTCACGCCCAGTTAATGGATGACTTAAGGAAGCACTCTCAGCACTCTGAGGAAGGCCAGATTGTTTTCAACAAAGCAGCACAAGGGGGAAATTCTAATTGGACAGTTCGTGATGGCTTGGTCTATTACAAGTCCAAAATATATGTGCCGACTGACTTTAATTATATCCCTACCATCCTCGCAACAGTTCATAATGCTACTCATGAAGGGATTCAAAAGACCCTGCATCGCATAAAAAGGGAATTCTATTGGGATGGCATGGCATCCTCGGTAAAGGACTTCATCACCAATTGTGCTATTTGCCAAAAAAATAAATGGGAAAACTTGCACCCAGCAGGTTTACTCCAACCTCTACCAATTCCTGAACAAATATGGGCTGATATTTCAATGGATTTTATTGACGGGCTACCAAAGGTTGGGGGTAAATCAGTTATCTATGTAGTGGTGGATCGATTCTCCAAATACGCTCACTTTATGGCATTGTCACATCCGTACACAGCAACGTCAGTGGCTCATTCTTTTTTCGGTAATATCTTTAAATTACACCGCCTGCCTGAAACAATAGTCAGTGACAGAGATGCAGTCTTCACAAGCCTATTCTGGAAGGAACTCTTTAAGTTATGTGGCACACACTTGGCATTTTCTTCATCTTATCACCCACAAACGGACGGTCAAACAGAAGTCGTTAATCGCACACTCGAAATGTATCTCAGATGTATGGTAGGAGATCACCCACGCAGGTGGGTAGACTGGCTGCCATGGGCTGAGTTCTGCTATAACACCTCTCTCCATTCGGCTTTGGGTACTTCACCCTTCAAGGTCGTATATGGGCGTGAACCACCGAGGCTTATATCCTACGAACCAGGATCATCCAAAATAGAAGCAGTAGACACTGCTTTGAAGGACAGAGATGCAATCTTGAGCGCTGCTCGAAATCACCTCATACGGGCTCAAGACAGAATGCGTCTTGCATACGACAATAACCACCGAGATGTGGTGTTTAACGAGGGACAGTGGGTTTGGCTTTGCCTGCACCCATATCGTCAATTCAGCGTAACCAAACGGACATCAGCGAAATTATCTCCACGGTATTTTGGACCATTCCAGATCATCAAGAAAATTGGCAAAGTGGCATACAAGTTAGCCCTTCCGGAGGGTAGTAAAGTCCATGATGTTTTCCACATTTCTTTACTGAAGGAATTTAAGGGAACGCCACCAGCACAGTCTCCCACACTACCTAATCTTCACGATGGGAAACTTCTGCCACAGCCAAAAGAGGTCTTACGGGGTCGTCTTAACAGGGGCAAAAAAGAGATTTTAGTGGTGTGGTCTGGCATGCATCCAGATGAGGCTACTTGGGAGGATGTCGATGAGTTCAGTCTTCATTTCCCTACCTTCAAGCTTGAGGACAAGCTTGATCTCAACGAAGGGAGTAATGATGCATTCATAGGGCGTCAATATCACCGTAAAAGAAAGAAAGATAAAAATCAGCAAATAACACAAACAAATCTGACTGATTTGGAAGACAAATAAAATCAAACAAATCTGGGAGACAAATAAATCAGACAAATCTGATTGACATGTCACGGTCAGGGATTTGAGATCCTGAGAGATCTGAGATATTATTTTCTGATTGCAATCTTTGAATTATTGTTTTCTTTTAAGTTGTTTTCTTTATATTATTTTCCAAACTCTGTAAAGCCTATTTAATGGCCAGTTGAATGCAGGGAAAAGGTATGCAAGTTTTTAGCAAGAAAAGTCTAAGGGAGTTTCTGGAATTCTCAATAAAAAATTCCAACTTGTGATAAAAGTTTGCATAATTATATTTTTCCTAGTTCTCTGCCAAACAGTAAACATAGCCAACCCTTCCAAAGCTCAGTCTACCCTCCCATTCACCCGAAGGCCTGTGACGAGATCTTGCACACAAGCTGCCCGTATCATCCACATCAAGGGTCGTTTTCCAATTATAAAAAATGAAATGTGTGAAGGGTTGGAATTATATGTTATTCACGCAATAAGAACTCAATGTGTTTTTTCTAAACAAAACATGTATAGAGGGGATTGAATATAATGAATTACGGGATAGTTTCGATATGCGACGTGTGAGCTTTCATCTTTTATGAGGGATCAATAGTGGAGCAAATTTTACTATTCTGGTGCAGGACACGTGGGGTTAATCATCTCGTATACTAGCCAGCACTTTTAGTACAGTTGACTCGGTTTAGACGTTGTAGTTGATAAATTACTACTAGTTATTGTGCTATCAGACATTTGGCTTAAGGTTATCAAGTCTCGTGCAGCACAGATTGTTTAGGTAATATGTAAGGAATGCGATATTGTTAAGGTTTCAAGTATGAATTGACGAAAATGGATGAAAGCCATGTTTTCCGCGTATCTTGTGTGCTGTCACTTCTTTAAAATTTTAAATATGATGTTTGTCATGTTGTGACTTGGAACTGACATCATGGCAATTTTCCAAATGTTATGTAATGGTTTATTAGATTATGGGGTTCACCCTCCATAAGAATAAATTTTACTCTAGGTAAAATAATCAGGATGTAAAAAATTGTTAACCTATATAGAATGCAGATTTTAAAGCAGATAAAACTGTTATTTGTGTACCTTACAAGCTGTCACTCCTTTAAACCAGATTTAAATGTATAAATCTGTGGGATGCACTCTCCATACCAGTGGATTGTTGCTAGGGTTGAGGTCAGTATAGAGAGATAATTCTAGAGAGAAGTGAGAGCATGATGTGTATTTCCTGGAGAAAAAATTTGTTTAGATGGAAATGTTTGCATGCCATGTACCAGACAAAGCCTCATGGAGTTAAGAAGTACAATTTATTTCCATTTAAGATTTATGAATCTATTATAAAGTGTATTATTTTATTATTGCAGGATTAGGACGCCTTGTTTTAGTTGTTTAGAAGCGAACAGATATCACATTGTGTTGATGGATTGTATTTGCAGGTGTAGTACTCAGTGTGTAAGTTAGGGCATCAATGAATACCGAATAGCATACCAAAGTCGGAATGTTGGATCAGACAAACCCTGAATTGCTATCATTATTATTATTATCATATAATTCTATACTTATTTACAAGATATTGCTAGTGTAGTAGTGTTAATGTGTTCTGTACTTCTGTCTGTGTGTAAACATAATTCTATACTTGTTTTTATGCTCGCCTATATTTGGTTCTGCTATGTAATTTGTTTTTTTAGTAATAGAACACTGGTAGAATCCAAGTGAAACAGTTGCAATTCTAGATCAATCGAGCTAAGAACAGATCGAAATAGAGTTTATTGTAATAGGGAAAAATCAAAGTAGGTATACAAGGGACAGTTCGAGAAGCCCACTCTCCAATTCTACAGCCAACTGAAATAACAGCCTGCCTTAATGTAGCTATCTATCTTCTGTTTATAGCTAATATTCCCTCAGGGAAAGTCTACTGTTAGTTAACAGACTTGTTAACTAACTAACTACCCCCCTTATTCCTCCTTTGATAGACTCTATTGAAGTATTTAATAGGCTGATCACTCATATGCCTATCATTTAGTTAAGCCATGAAGCTAATTTCTTATTTCTATCTAGGAAAACTATGAGAAGCTGAATGAAGCACTTGCTGGTACTGACCATTCATGGACTGCTCTCACACTTGAAGTAAGGGACAATTTGATTCCTACCATAAATCTTAAATATCCTGAAGAATGCAGCAATTACTGTTTTCTCTTTTGCTTACAGTAATGGAGCAAGTTAGACGTGAAGTGTAACTGTGTAATTCCTCTATAATGTCCATATAAATGCCATGCTATATCTTTATCCTCGCGATCAGATAATTTGTTCATGTTTTTCCTTTGAACCGTGTTACCCTGTTCGGTTTATATATTGAACCAGCCATTAATTTTATGTGAGAGCATTTATTATGGATTTAAGAAATATGAATTAAATTTGAATCCACCATTTTTTATTTAATTTTATCATGTATGAAAGCCATTAGGAACATAAGTTTCATCTCAACCCATGTTAATAGTCTTTATATAATTTTGCACTGCTCTCAGCGAGAGGGTGAGTTTTTAGTAATATTATGGGTGGAAGTATGACTCAAGTGCATGTATCTTACTGGACCTTTTAAATCATTCTATATAGTATTTGCCCAGGCAGAGCTGGGGGGGGGGGGGGGGGGGCATTACCAGACCCAGGCCCACATTGCTATCTTTAATTAACTCTTGCATCTATATTTTCAAGTACCTCCAATACAAAATTGTCTGAAAAGTTCGCTACAATTTTTTCTGAAGTACTCTTTACTTTTGAAATTTATCTAAAAATGAATTACATTCTTGATTTCCAGTCAGGCCCCACCCCCGCATAAAGTCCCAGCTCCTCCCCCTGGCTCCACAAAGCTTGTTACATGTTTTTGAGCTTCCATGATTGCTTCACCATGACATTGTCTCTGCTTGTTCTAGCTGTGCTCCGCCATGCAGACTGCCAATAAATTGGTTGACTCTGCCAACTGCAATGCTGGGAAGCTGTCAGAGAATGTCCAGACGCTTCAGGAAATAATTAATAGGAGAGATTCAAATATAGCTGCAGCAAAAGCCATTCAAAAGTTGCCTGAATGGAAAAGGAGCCCTGATAGTGAGAATCATCTTCAAATTTGAACGGTAAAGATATGCTTTGCTGAGGGGATGTATAGTCTTGAGATGTTCTTGTGCATTATGGCTGTTAAACTTTTCCCATTTGATTTTACTCCTTTTCCAGGAAAATTGTATTGATCTTAATATGTAAGTGTATGAATGGTTAACTCATAACTGTAGCGTTCAAGATTTCATAAATAAAAACTTCACGTTTAAAGTTTGATGATGTTTTTTGTTTAATACTCTGTTTTTGTTAGATGCTTCACTGCGTTTTACACGTTATAATCTGCAGCAGTACAGAGAGTAGGTGAAAAATAAAAAGGTGAAAAGTAGAAGAAAGAAAAATGGTAAAATAAGGATATTTATATCTAGAAAAATTACTTTTGTACGCTTCATTTTGTATAAGTTTTTATAGACGCCCTATTTGGTCTCTGTTCATGGACCATTTATAAAGCGTAAAGTTTTTGAAAGTTGCATAATGCATATACACAAAGACAATTTGAACGTATGAAGAACTATTGTTATGTCTAATGTGTTACAATTTGCTAAAACTGAAAAGTGATGCACATATTAAATAATTCCAAAAAAGAATAAGGAACAACTGTTAAAAATAAAGGTAGTATCATTTGTTTTCTGATTTTTTTTATTCCTCTTTATTATTATTATTATTAAGATTAATAAAGGTAGTATCATTTGCTAAGCTTTCTATTTTTGTATATTTGTTTAGTTGCAAATAACATTTGAGCCAATACATATATGATATATATAGTAATTTAAATTACTAGTACTTACATATAGACAAATAAATTTTAATTATATCATACTTCTCTGTTTTATCTAATAAAACTTTTCTTTTGTAGAATTTTTAATACTTGAATCTTTTTTTTATTTATTAATTTAAAATTTTAAATACATAAACACTCTTCATTGTATCATTCCAATTTTGCACTATTCTCCAAAGCATAATTTAATTTCTAAACTTCGTACAAAGTATAGTGGAGCTTGAATAAACAAACAAATCATAGTAACTTAATTAAATTAGATTATTTAATTAAATTAATGTGAGTTTACCAAGTGAACTCTTTGGTACAAGTGCACAACTAGTCTTAAAATCGTAACATTTCAAGAGCTGAGTTCAAGAAGGCACACATATTATATTTGAGAAGAGATTCTCAAAATTGACTTGTTGTCATTTTTTCGGTTTTATTTTGTAAAGCAACATAACATGTACAATTATTTAGTCAAAATTGTTAGCAATTATTCTATACAATTTCCTAATATACTAAATCATAATCGATTAGTTAGATTGTTTTTAAGTGAATTAAAATTTTCTATTTTCGTTCAATTTGTTTCATTTGATCTGATATGTTATTTTAAAATTTGTTTCATGTTTACTTGACTATTTCGTAGGTAGCATTATCGAAATTAGATTTGGTTTAACAATCCGAGACAAAAGCCAAAACTTTTTAAAAAAGAATGAAATGAAATGCAACATTTTTTTTAATTTTTATTTTCAACTTTTTCTTCCAAATGCCACACTATACGGCATCTTTACGCCTTTACCGCTTTAGTGCTTCCAAATCATCCCGGAAGCATAAACTCGTGAAATGCTCACATTCAGACCATTGACACTTTCCTACTTCAGACCAACCTCATTGCTTAATTCAACATCTGGCGCTGGTGGCCTGAGCTTTACCGGAATATTATCCGGCCAGCCCTTTCCGATGGCCAGCTTGTCTACTGTTTCTACCCAGAATGAGGGAGCCGTTTCGGAGCCAAACTCAAAGCCCGCTCAGCCCCTGCAGGTACAGTATGCTCTTTTTCGGTTCCAATTATGATCTGTTAAATTGCTAGGAACGCGGGAATTGCTAATTATATCTAGCTCATGGGCTGTTTTCTTCTCGATCTTGTTGCTTTTATTGTATTATACATCCTCCGTATCATTTTTCCCTAATTCGACCACGGCGACATGTGCACCTTTTTCTTTGTGGAGAGCCCTTCAGATTGGAAATCTCATAGTGAAGTGCCCAAAATGGACTTGGTTGAGTTTGATCTTCCCCTGGATGATTTAAATGTGATAACTTTAGTTTTAACTAACCAACAAACTTGAAAGAAAAAGCAGGATGGATGATTTTTAAGACCTGCACATTACCAAAATTAACCAATACCCAAGTCAAACAATAATCTTTTTTTGTGAAGGTAGTAACTTGCAGTACAACTTTAGATCACTCTATTTTAGTATTTTTATGCAGTTATGCAAAATATTTAGTAGGCTTCTCTAGAAGCACATATGTGAGAAGCACATACGTCAGATGCGGCTTCTTAGTGATAGCTTAATTATGCTTACTAACTTGGAAGTAAAAACTTTTGGATCCGTGTTGCAGTTATGCTTGCACTGCCTTTCTTAGTCAATACCCAGAGCCTTCCCTCTTAGGGAATCTTGGTGATGGCTTGTTCAATTGTTTTATGAAACTGTTGGGATAAAATACTTTGCCTCAATTTGACTCTAACTAGAATTTTCAGTACTGCATGCTTACTAGAGGGCCGAACCACCAGCATTCTTTAATGGCAGATTATTACTGCAAAAATAACACTACTGTCCTACTCCGAGAATGGAATGTGTTATAAATCTAATGCACTAAACCTATGATTTATATAAACCTATGGACTATGGTCTCTTATACTTCAATACATGCCCTCAAGCTCATAGTTTGACACAAAACTTGACCTTAAAAGTTGAAATTGTAAGTGTTGAAACATCATTGTGGAAAAAACAAACTTTACAGTGAAATAGAAAACACTTTAAAAGATTTTCGGTTATTATTCATGGTTCATCAGTGTAGGACTATTTAAATTGAATGATTACAACAAAAGACTATGTGATCTATTTAATTAGGGAAAGAAATAAAGACAAAACAGAGATGCATAAAACCTTAATCATGGATTCATGGACACCCCTTGATTTGATTATCCTACAAAGAACAAGACATCTACTAATATATATAAGGTTTGTTAGAATTTATCAGTGATGACTTTGATCCTAATGGGTTAAACATAGGTTTTCCGATTTAGCCATTTGTATAGACTAATAAAATGCATATATAAAAAATAATGGGCCTAACCTTATGGTTGAATGGAGGGTTTCATATACTTTTTCCTAAAAAAATGGGTTACCAAATGGGCATATTGTTTACTATTTTCTACTCACCATTTTTCTTATTTCCAGGTTGCAAAGCGCCTAGAGAAGTTCAAAACCACAATTTTCACCCAAATGAGTATGCTTGCCATCAAGTATGGTGCTATAAACCTTGGCCAAGGATTCCCCAATTTTGACGGGCCTGACTTTGTAAAGGAAGCAGCTATTCAGGCAATCAGAGATGGTAAAAATCAATACGCTCGAGGTCATGGCATCCCTGACCTAAATGTTGCTGTAGCTGCACGGTTCAAGAAAGATACTGGCCTTGCTATTGACCCTGACAAAGAAGTCACTGTCACCTCTGGTTGCACTGAAGCAATTGCAGCAACCATGTTAGGCTTGATAAACCCTGGTGATGAGGTAATACTCTTTGCTCCTTTCTATGATTCTTATGAAGCTACATTGGCTATGGCTGGAGCTAAGATAAAGTGTGTTACTCTACGCCCCCCGTATTTTTCGGTCCCCCTAGATGAGCTCAGATCAGTTATATCTAAAAATACCCGTGCAATCCTCCTGAACACACCCCATAACCCAACAGGGAAAATGTTTAGCCAGGAAGAACTCAATGTAATTGCCTCTCTATGCATTGAGAATGATGTTATTGTCTTTGCTGATGAGGTTTATGACAAGTTAGCATTCGAAACAGAACACATTTCAATTGCTTCTCTTCCAGGAATGTATGAAAGGACTGTTACCATGAACTCATTGGGGAAGACATTTTCACTGACAGGCTGGAAAATTGGCTGGGCAATCGCTCCCCCACATTTGACATGGGGAGTGAGGCAAGCTCATTCTTATCTTACTTTTGCTACGTCTACTCCAATGCAATATGCTTCTGCAGCAGCCCTTAAAGCACCTGATTCTTATTATGTGGAGCTTAAGAAGGATTACTTAGCAAAGAAGGCCATATTGGTGGATGGGTTGAAGGCTGCAGGCTTTACCGTGTATCCATCTAGTGGAACATATTTTGTGATGGTGGATCACACGCCTTTTGGAATGAAAGATGATATTGCATTTTGTGAGTATCTAATAAAGGAGGTTGGCGTCGTAGCCATACCAACTAGTGTTTTTTATCTAAATCCTGAAGATGGAAAGAATCTTGTAAGATTTGCTTTCTGCAAAGACGAGCAGACACTAAGAAGTGCAGTTGAGAGGATGAAAGAGAAGTTATTGAAGAAATGAAAAGAAAACCCAAAAAGTAATCAGGTATTCTTTACTTCACTACATAGGAAAATTCGTCGGTATCCACAATTATCACCCTCTACTAATACGTGGCATCTTAACATAAGGAATACAATGTCACTGCTATAATAATGTAATACATATAACTCCATGGAACTTAAACAAAATGTTCACTTTATCAAAATAAAAAAGGACAGTGAGATACAAATGAGTATTTAGTTATCATTTATCACAAAAACATGTGTGAGACAGTCAGACTATGTCCAAAAGCTAATACTCTTTGGTCAAAAGTAATACTTCCTATGTCCAAAAGTTCCGTTTCTTATGATGGTTTTAGTATTGGAAAGATTGCTCTTTTCTCGGGATGGAGGTAGAACTTTTAAACATATCAAGAGCCCGTATAGTAACCTTCATTTTCAACTTATCTATCTTATCATCCATTTTTTACCAAACACTTTACTTCTGATATCACACGTTGAGTTGTGTAATAATCAAAATAAGTACGGTTGAATTTACTTTTCTAGCTGAATTGGCTGAAGTTATGGTAGAAGACCATTTTTATTTATTCTTTTCCATCACTTCCATTACTAAACTGTCTGCGCTTCTTAGTTATAAAGCAGCAGTCACTCAGGCAGTCCATGCAATTTTCAATGCGATTTCCATCACGGGTCATCCAAACATAGTCTCATAGTCTCTTTGTGCTCTAGTACAAGTATAAGGCTTCATAGATCCAACCCCCCTTACTACACTGTAGAAGGCAGGGTGCATGCTATGAGAGCCTTTGCAGCACTGGGGAAATATTATTGTTATTAATAAAATATACTATCTTCCGTTCTTTAATTCTTGCAACAGATTGA